CCTTCCCCCCACCCCAAATATTGCTCTTAAGTTTTTATCCACAAATGGTACTTAAATAAAAACAACTATTGGGCTTGTTTCAGTAAGCATTAAGTGCCGCTTCTAAGAGCGGAATATTACTTAAGGATATCTGTGCTAATTCAATTCCTATTGCACATGCTAATTGTTTGTCTGTGGGTGTGGTTCTGTGACACACTTAACCTGTTGTAAAGGGTACCTGCTGCTGAAACCAGTGGTCCTTCTCTTTGCTGCCCTCTTGTTACATGCACACTCATGTCTGACTCCCTTGTCAGTCTGTTCAGGGAACTGGCAAAAAAAAAAAAGTCTTGTGGCTGAGGAGGAGGAGATTTATCTTCAAATTTAACTTCTCGAGTCAGCATTTTGTGAGAACCTGAATACCAGTGCTGTTGCAAGAGAAGCACTGGGTGAACAGGACTCTTCCATTTGGTGGCTGCTAGCTGTTATTTTGGCTAAGCCATATAAAATACCTGTTCCCTTAGTCATAATTGTGGCAGATAGAAAACTTATAGAAAACAAATAGATTTTACCATCCCTGGGATTTGAGGTGCTTAGGCCGCTGGTGAGACTTGCAAATGTTTGCTTTAGTTAGCCAACTATGGCTCGTCCTGAAGGATAACTGGGAATTCTGTTCTGTGGGATCGCCAGTTCACTATGTTCCATGGATGAATGTTCAAATCTAGGTGGCATGTCCAGAGGCCTGTGTGCTGCTTTTGGCACACAGGTTGGAAATGGCATGTTTCCCCACTACTTTTTTGACAGAAAATTGTAATGCTAAGGTCTATAAAAGGGCATTGCATTTTTCCATGCAAAAAATCCTGAATCAAAACAATCTTATTGCACAGGTATCCCCACAGAAGAAGTGAAAGAAGTATATATGGGTAATGTCCTGCAGGCTGGACAAGGACAAGCTCCAGCAAGACAAGCAGTACTGGGTGCAGGTATGCATTCTCCTGATTCAGGGGTTAAAGGTCTTCTGTCTTGATGCAGACTGCTGCTAATGCAACTGTAGGTTATTGAGCTATGAATTAAAGCAGAGAGGTTAATTTGAATCAGTGGTGCCCCGCCTTTCATCCAGACAGTTTGTGTACGTTTTTTTTCCCATGGTGGGTGAGGGCTGTATGTTGTACTCATGTAACTGGCCGTAATTGTGCCTGCTCAGGAATCAATTTTCTTATGCATGATAGATCTTACTGCTTACAGTCTTTGCAGAACCTGAAAAGAGGATGTTGGAGAGCAAACTGCTACTTCCAGGGCATTTTATGTTAGTGATGGATGATGCTGTTTGAATCTTTCATGAAACAGATTTTTTTTCCCCCCTAATGTCTCACTACTTTTAAATCTTTTTGGATATGGGGTCAGTGAGTGTCCGTAAACTGTAGATTTGTAGGTATGTCATTACACTTTCATCTTACTAGGGAGCCTGGAGCTGTCACTGAAACAATACGCTCTGTAATGTTAACTACAGCGTAAATGATGTTGGGGTGCTGGAATTATTTTCTTCTCCCTGTTCCTGTAGGGGTAGAATTCCATCCCTTAGCATGACTCTAGGAAAGTCTGTGGGCTAGGTAATAACTGAATACTGTTTTGGCTCTATCCCTGTACTTTGCTAAAAGAGTGCAAAAAGTGCTGCCATCTGAGGGAAAGAGATAAATAAGGTTCTCTTCTTTCCCCCAACTGTTTTCTTCATGTTGCTGATGTGGAGAGGATATGCTGGTAGCAGACCCCTAACGCTAGAAAGCAACATTGGGATAGAGGCAGTGAGGCAATGGACCCGAGCTAAGCTGCACGTAGCAGAGCCCAAAAACTATTGTCAGAAACACTGCAATAACACTGACACCTAACAATTTTGGTCCTGATTGGTAATGGCTAAAATAAAAATTGGGTAAAATAAAAAGGGATAAAATAAAGCTTAGAACTCTTGTACTTCTGGGGTACAGTCGTATTGCCAGTAGCTAGCTCGAACAGCTTATTTATACCTTTTCAATCTTCTGTGCTTCTTAGAGGCAGGGAGCGTTAAGAGGAGGAATAGTTCTGGAGTTGGTTGTCTGGTCTTCTGTCATCTTTCTCGCTCTTCCCTTGCTTCCCCTCTTATCCCCTGAGCCTGGTGGTGAGAAACTACAAGAGTCTCCGAGAAGGATACCAGCGAGGGGTGGGGATAGATAAGTTGTCCTGACAGGCTAAATAATGCCTGTTGGATTCCTTGGGCTTAGACAAAAGCTGGTTCCATGAGAAATCTTGTTGAAACACCAACAGCAGTGTTAGGCTACCCTTGAAGTAATACAGTTGTTTCTACAATCTATTTGACTTAGGTCTACCAATCTGTACTCCTACTACCACTGTCAATAAAGTCTGTGCCTCAGGAATGAAATCAATCATGATGGCAGCACAAAGCCTAATGTGTGGGAGTCAGGTGGGTGATTGTTAATGCTGTTTAACTAGACATATAGCTGTAATTATGGAATAAAAACCACACAACCAGTATCATAGATCCTGTCCTATGAATTACTGTGTTTTTGACTTGGGATAATGAAGCTGGTTAATGAGGTATTGTTTTGCTTATGCAACCTGCAATTTGAAACATAAACATTTGTGACTGTTCCAGTTATGAACTGCTGATGTATTTTTGGAGCTGAGCAAATAACAAGTGTATGTGGCTTTTTGGTTTTTTGTTCTTTTTTTTTTTTGCATCATCTTTACCTCTCCTCTTTCCCCCTCCACCCCTGCAATAAGGAAATAAATTTTCAAGCTTTCTACTTTGAAAACTTGAAGAAATTTATATAGACATAGCTCTTGTTGAAACATGCATCATCTTGACTTTCAAGCATGTTAACACTTTAATGTAGTTAAAGATGTTTTGAAATGATATTGCTGTAATATATACATTTAATTCTTTTAAGATGTTTCAGGCTTTGTTATTATTTTAGAAGAAGCTGAGACTTTTAGTGTTGCTGAATAAGCATTTTTATTGAAGAGTTTGAGGGAGAGGAACTGCTTATCTTTGTCAACTGTAGTCTAAGTTTCTATACAGAATGGGGAAAAATAGTGTTACTTAATGTATTCTCCCATCTGTCCATTATCTTCAGCAAGCCATCAAATACTGTGCAGCAAAGAATATAGAAGAAGAGTGAATGTGAAGAAAGACACTTCAATTTTTGTTTTTAATTCCATACTTAGAGCATTTTGGCAAAATCTCCCCTTCGCTGAAGTGAAGATTTTGTTATTTCAACATGTATTTTTGGTTTACAAACTAATTGGATCATAAGAGCAAAATGTACTAATAACTCTTTTTCAGTTTAACCAACAACAAAAGTACAATATTTAAGTTGCTTTGTCTTTACTGTAAAAATATAAGTATTACCAAGTTAGGCAACTACTTATTACTTTGGCCTTTCTTTGCAGAGAATGACACTTTGTCCAGAGCCTATGGAAGTCAGTGGAAGCCTTTCACTGGGCTTTGAATCAGGCCCAGCATTTCTGTGTAAACAGCTACATTTGGATTTAGTAATTTACATCCAGTGAGTTTGTTAGTGCTCATTCATTTGGTTTGTTTGACAGATGCAGGCTATGCGCTCTGAAGAGAACTGGAGTTTTCAGTGTGCTAATTATATGTGCTCTGCTGCAGGTAACTGCGAGAGCAGAGATTCTGGCAGTTAGTAACTCCTTAGAGCTATAAATTATCATGTTTTTCCTGGCTGCAGGCTGTGAGGTGTCTGTGCTATGAAAGTCAGTGATGATTCTCGGTGCCTTGAGTGTGTGTATGAGCAGACAGTGTCATATAAACAATTGTATTAATTCTGTCTCCAAGTTTTTCATTTCCTGGAATAGGAGTGCCAGGGACTCTTGTTCCTGTACTCCTCTGATCAGTCACTGCTTTCATATCACAACTACCTTTCTGTTTGCCAGCCTTTCCAGTGATCTTCTGGCTCTTTTCTCTTCTTCATTACTTATGTTACTGTTCCTGGATCTAGTTTATCCTCTATTCTGAACCAAACTGTTATTTCTCTGAATCATAATTAAAAAGCTGAAAGCTTTTTTTAAATGATTATGTTGATGAAAAATATTTTTTATAGTCGCACAAGCAGCATTACTGAACTCTCAAAGACTTGCACTGCTGTGTTGGTATTTTTCTTGCCTTTATCCATGTCAAGTCCTCCATTAAACACAATTATGTCTCGTCGTCTTGCTCTGAGAACCTAGTGATTTATTAGTATACTTATGATCCTTACAGGTTTTGCTGTTTTTCATTTTTTTTGTCTCAGATTAAAAACTGTATTTATATAAAGTTTTAATTTATAAAAATATTAATTATATTCATTTATAAATGTCATAATGATTCAACCTAATTCAAGTTCAATGATTATTGTTGACTGAAAGTCTCCTTTTTTGCTGGCATTTTGACAGACTAGATGATAAAACCTTCCTGAGTCAGCTCTTCTTACATAGCAAGATTAACTAGTATTATGTAAAACCCCAAGTACTTCTGTTAAATCTTTTTCTTCTTACTGGTCTCTTAAATTGACTGCTGCTTGTTCCACAGGGATATCAGGCTGCTAATGGAGAACAGAAATGAGAAAAATAAACTATTTAAAATAAAACTTACAATTTGATCTTGGAAACTTTGGAAGTAGAATTGCAAGAGACTGATTTGGCTCTTGCAGCTTTCTAAAATTACCGATCAGACTAAAGTCCAGTTGTTCTGTCAGCATGGATTAACTGTTCAGCTGTTGTCCCTGCTGTTTGCTTTTTAACTGCACAGAGATTTCACCCCTCCCCCTTCTGTAAGACTTCTTGGAAATGTGCCTGTAAAGTGTCCTGTACTAAGGTTTTGTTAATACGTCTTTCCAAAAGAAGTCATAGAGAGCACACTGCATTGTTAATTATTTTTAATAATTTAATTTTTATTTTGTTTGAACAGGATGTAATGGTTGCTGGTGGAATGGAGAGCATGTCTAATGTTCCCTATACAATGAGCAGAGGAACAACGCCTTATGGGGGAGTAAAACTGGAAGATCTGATAGTAAAAGATGGGCTTACAGATGTTTATAACCATATCCATATGGTAAATGTTCCTGCACAATACTAAAATATCAGCCATGGACTTGATGCAGCTCTGAAGAGCTTACTTATAATTACTAAGCTGCTTTGTCTAACAAATTTAGAAAAGAGGAATAATGTTAATGGGGGATTGACAGAGTCTTCCATTTCCAGGCTTCCTGTAGTAATGGAAAGGGAGAGGCTAGACAGAAGGCCAAAACATAGTCGCAAATTGTGTGTTAATATTTATATGCCTCTCCTCACTGAAGTCTGAGGAGCACAGAGCAGGGATTAAAAAACAGAAAGTGAAATCCCGAATCCTGTCTCTTTTGTTACTGGTAGATTGCTGCTGTGCTCTCTGTAGGAGAGAGCAATCAAATTCCTTAATGTCTTTGAGGGTTTCTACTTTGTATGGTTCAGCAAGCTCTCCTGTTTACTCTCCCTGCCCAATGTACATACAAGGGTCTGTTAGCAGATTTGAGCTAGCTGATACTCTTACTTATCAGCATGGTAACTCAAATCAGATAAACACCTGCAAACTCAGGATGAGTTTGGGAAAAAATACTGACATGAAGGTAGTGAAGAACAAGCATCAAGGAAAACATTTCAACAAGATAGTAACTATCGTCAATGCAGGAATACTTCTGACCTTTGCCTGTAGTTGTTCCCAACTGTGGAGTATATTTATTGATCAGTTAGTGTTCTTGCTACTGTTCGTGAACGTGTCTCCTGAAGAACATTTCACTGTCTTCAGCTGATTGACATATTTGATACAGACCTCACTGTTCTGTTTATGCTGTGTTCTTTTTTTACAGTAGTGCACTCTGTTCAGGCCATAGGTTGGAAAAACCACCTATGCATAGGGGTATACACAGTGGCTTTGCTAGTTCTTATATGTGGGAAAAGCTGTAGGAGTTGGTTATAATACACAAAGTTTAAATAGATTGGGACAGTATTTTAGAACCTTTTGGCCTGTAGCCTGCCTGGAAAATCTTAACAGTGTGAGAATACCCAGGAAGGCCCATCCCAAGGCTCTAGGAAGACACCTGTCTATGTTCTAGCAATAGAGTAAGTTGCTGGTGCTCTGAAGACTCTAAATACTTTAACTGCATAGAAATTAACTTGCTTGTTTGAAGAACTGGAGGAACACAGCATGAAAGGCTCTTGAGGCGATTCACTGTGTTTTCTTTAGAAATGACAGACCAAAGAGCAGTATCTGTTTAAAAATAAATCTTTCAAGCTTGCTAAATGAGTATCCATTTTCTTCTTTGTCACCAGGTATTTAGATAGTGTTTGTAATTATATAATCATAAATCATTATGACTATGATTGTTTCATTCTAATTATTTCATTCTAGTTATTAGACAAAAGATATGCACGCGTCTACATATGCAGTTTTTGGAGTATAAGAAGATCCCAAAGGCTAAATAAGCCCTGTGTTTTGAACTGTTCTTTTAACCCTTGTAAAAGACATGCTAATAATGGCATAAAAATACTAGTATGATGATGTGAACATACTGTTCCATGGCTGAACAGTTTTCTTCAGGCTCTGACAGAGTTTTTGTCAGTTTCTCTGACAGTCTGTAAGCATTTTAAGACTTAGTTTTGCATGTTTTCTGGATCCAGAAAACATTTCCTAAATCTGAAGTTCATATTTCAAAAGCAGAAACTATTATTTGTTCATGACATGCACACCAAATGATAGTCATCTTCAACTCCAATAATCTACTGGTTAAGCTTTTGAGTTATATTTCTGGGTCACATGTCCAGAAGTGCCAAATCTAATGTGCTTTGTTTTCTCCAAGGGTAACTGTGCTGAGAACACTGCTAAGAAGCTTACCATCTCACGAGAGGAACAAGACACTTATGCTATAGGCTCTTACACTAAGAGCAAAACAGCCTGGGAATCAGGAACACTGAGAAATGAAATAGTTCCTGTCACTGTTTCGCAAAAAGGTATTTTGGAAAGGCATGATAAAATGAATTCTGTTTCTCATTGAAAGAAGTAAAATTATCTGTGTTTAGTGTGAATTCTGTTGTTTAAATATCCAGACTTCAGGAATATTTAATATTATTTTAGATAAGTTAAGAGAATTCTGTTATGCAGTCTTTTTGGTGAAACCCATTCAGTGACCTGTGGTCTGTTTCTTCTTGTCTTTTTCTTTAATGTTAAGTATCACATATGTGTGTGTGTGCATATAGATATATACTTTTTTTTTTTTTTAATGAGTGGATGACTAGGTATTGAATTTAGCTAGGATGACTTTTGCTAGTATTACGTCTGTGTCTTAATTTCACTATTAATTACCATAAAGATATGTTGTTTATTCCTTTCATTCACTCACCGTGTAGTATAAAAAAAAGATTTGCTGTGAATAAGTGGGATTAAGGAATAAATTTTGTCACTTTTCACAAGTGGATTTCTTGACATGCATGAATAAGTTTATATTTTTTAATGAAATAAGTTATTTAAACTGGGCAACATTTAATCAAAATTATATCTTAAGAACAGAGTTTACTATAAAATATGAATAATCTATGTTTCAGGGAAGCCAGATACAGAAGTGAAAGAAGATGAAGAATACAAACGTGTTGATTTTAGTAAAGTTCCAAAGCTGAAGGCTGTTTTCCAAAAAGAAAATGGTAAATATTAAGTCAACTGCTTACATTTTTCTTTTTAAAATTTGTTTTCTTTAACACCAAGTGCAAAGATACTTTATTATTGTGAAGAGTACTGCTTACAGGGGCTTGGATGTCTGATAGATAGTAGTCTGCTAACTTTTAGATGTTTGCTAAGGTAAAGAAATATTCTGGCAAGAAGTTGAAGTCTTGAATCCACAACAGCTTGAATTGGCTTGAATTAAAAGATGGTTCACGAACATGTAAACCAGTGAAAACCTAGTTTGGACAGTTACTTTAAAAGGACTCAAAGAGATTGGCCTCAGTTTAGCTGTTGCCTTGGTCTCCACCAAGAGTAACTTCTTGTTTCAGTGAGAGCTGGTGTGCCTTTACATATATTTACCTATTCCTTCCCTACATCTGTAACTGATAAATCTTTCTGGCTAAAGTTGCCACTTCTTCACAGTCCTATCTAAGCTGAAATTCTGTGTTAACGCTGACAATACACCTGATAGGGAAGCCATTATCTAACCTACTGTTTGGATATGGCTTGCAAATACAGCCAATTGTACCAGTTTAAGTTCCTTTTAAAAAAAAAAAAAATCCACTCATTTTTAGTTAGCTCAGCGCAACAAATAATACTATGTTGTTGAGACCAAAGGTTCAAGAGTTTGAAGAAAACAATTGTTAGCAGGATGCACCTGAGCTATCACAGTCTGTTTAATCAGTGCATTCTTTTAGGAACAGTTACAGCTGCTAATGCCAGTACTCTGAATGATGGAGCAGCTGCTGTGGTTGTGATGACTACAGAGGCAGCCAAGAGACTAAAAGTTAAACCATTGGCACGAATAGTAGGTAAGATTTTTCTTTTCTTCTTTGAGTACAGTCCCGGAAAATATTCCTATGTATGCTCTCAGACTGGGAATCATTTTTGTCCTGTTATCTTTCATTCATGGAATAGAAAAGGTGGGGCCATAGGTTGTATTATGGCTGCATTTTCTCAAAATAGTCTTGGAAGTTTCAAGTGCCATAAAAGCAGGCCCTTGATTATAACCGGAGTTTTCTATTTGGGATGACATTAAACATCTGAAAATGTTGTTATGCAGGTAATAAACTTTAGATGTATCTGTTTTCAGAGACCATTATATTCAGAATTTCTCTATCTTAGCTGGGTTTGCAGCTTGCACAAATAAACATCATCTATGGTAAGAACAAAAGGTGTTTAAACAGCTTTTACGATTTTGCAGCTTTTGCAGATGCTGCTGTTGACCCTATTGACTTTCCAATTGCACCTGCATATGCCGTTCCCAAGGTAGGAATAAAACTCGGTGCTGTTTGAAAAACAACAGACTTTCCTAGCGCTGGATCACTGTTTCATCCCTCAGTGGATTGATATTTCTGTAGTTAGGTTTAAATTATAATTACTTCATAAATACAAAGAATGCATGTTTTTCAGAGGGTCAAGGCTAGAACGTAGATTTTTGGAGTAACAAACTTCTCATCTACTTTGAAAGAGAATACTGTTTTATACTGTTTTCACCATCGTTGGGCTTGTTTACACTGTCAAGGCTTTGCAGCTAGTATAATTAAAAAGCAGAATACATTGATAATTATACAACTGTAGACTATCTCATAAAGGAACTGAAGGCACAAGGCACCTCTGTATCAGTGTAAATGCACTTAACCTAGCAATGGTCTTGATGTAAAAGTGTGATGAAAATGTATTCTTTGTGTGGGGGTACTCTCCATTTCTTCCTTTACAAAACCTCAGTTTGTACTCCAGAACTTCAATTTTGCTGTTTTCCCATCTGGCAAAGAGGTTCTGACATGCAAAGTTGAGTCTCTTGCTTGATATAGTGGAGGACCTAAAGGCATCTTGATTCAATAACTTTGGAAACAAAGTTAGGAAGCTGCTGTTGCATTATTTACTTTCTTTGTGTTTAGAAGGTTCTCTGCAAAAAGGAAAAAAAAAAAAAAAAAAAAAAAGAATTTTGCCCTCTGCAGATTCTGAACATGATTTGTGGATTTTGTAAATGCAAAAGTAAACTATGGGCATAGGTTCATTCTTCCTGAACCTGATGCTGTAAATTAAATTCTGCTTTAACGTTAGCTGGGCCTTTCTTTGGATCATTTTAGTTGCAGTACTGAAGCATGCTCAAAGGCAGAGAGATGGCTGGTTTCAGCTACAGTTTAAGCCTTCTGTAAGGGCATGGCATCTCTGCCTTAGCAAGCTGTAGTGTAACAATTTTAAAATGATCTTTGCTCTTATTATAATAACTTTTAAAACTAATTGGAGGGAGGTCCGAGTTTACTAGGGAATTTTCAAATTGTACTTCTAAAACTGTAACACTGGTGCTTCAAAATAGACCTAATTTATGTGAAGTGCTATTAGCGTCATAATTTTTTTCATGGCAGCACTTATTTTAATTATTTTATGTATTATTATTTCTAGATTCTAAATGAGGCAGGATTGAAAAAAGAAGATATTGCAATGTGGGAAATCAATGAAGCATTCAGTGTTGTGGTGCTGGCCAATATTAAAATGCTGGGTATTGATCCACAAAAAGTGAACATTAATGGAGGTGCTGTCTCTCTGGGACATCCAATAGGGTATGTAAAATAAGCTTTTTTGTTTGCTTGTTTTTGTTTTGCACATAGTAGGTTTTATTCTGAGGCAATGTTTTCTATATGCATTGCTAATACATTTAATTTTATTCTCATACTTAAGGTGGGTAGGAAAGGTTAACAGAATTTTGGTATCAAGTAGGTCCTGAATCCAGGTGTTAAAACTTCAGGATACCTTGAAATGAGCATGATCCCATTTTTCTCTTTACAGTTGATTATCATCTACTTTTTTAAAGAGCTTGCTTGTTACCATAGCTGGAAGGATTTATGAACCTTTGAAAACATAACAGTATTAATGCAACAATATAAGCAGTAGCAATTAATCAACTAGTTAAGCTAATAAATTTTGCAAATAAACTTATGAAAATACCTAAGGATATAGTACAGAGACTTTTTCTTTTCTTACATCAGCAAAGTGAAATTTGAAGTCTTGTCAAAATAGTCTCAATAGTATGTAACTGAGAGCTGGAATAGTTTGGGGGATGTTGGTGGGTCTTCTGTTTATGTTTGGAAGTTCTGTCATTTGGTTAAGGGAGAGCTGTTGTAGAACACAGCAAGTAACTTGCATATGGCTTAATAAGTCCCATTAATTGCCTTAAAGGTGATCAGACTGCAAAGCCCAGGTCTATGAGGAGAAATCTATTTCAAATCCTCTAACTAGATATAGATTAGAAGTAACGACTTGGTACATCAGGAACAAGGAGGAGTACTTCATTGTTTAGAAATTTGCCAGCAAAGTGCAAATCAAGGCGTTATACCTCAAGCCATGCGGACATACCTGTTGTTCTGACAGCTTCCTCTGATAAGGGAATATGATTTTTTTCTTAAAAGGAAATTTCTACGACCTAATGGCAGAATTTAAATTTTTTTATGTTAGCTAGATCAAAGTAGCATATGGCGTTATATCAAGTTGTAACCAAAGGAGAGATTGTTTGGAATGAACTGTTGATTTGAAAGATCTTTGCTGCCTGCAGAGATGCTTTGCAATATACAGAATACTTGAGGGGCTTTCCTTTTCCAGAAGAAACTTTGGACAAACATGGAGGCTGGTTTTTGTACATACAAAAAAATCTCCTTCTGCTTGAGAAGTACTGTAGCTAGAGAAGTAGCCTGTATTGGCTTCTAAATGTCAGTAAGAGGGGTGGTGGTTTTTCCAGTGAATCCGTGCTATGTTATGCTAACTATCTTCTTTTGTGGGGTCAAATTAAGAATTTCCTTCAAACTAAGCTATGTTGTTCCTTTTTTTAGAATGTCTGGAGCAAGGATTGTTGTCCACATGGCCCATGCATTGAAACAAGGACAATATGGTCTTGCAGGAATTTGCAATGGAGGAGGAGGTGCTTCTGCAATATTGATACAAAAGCTGTAAGCCCAACCAGCTGTTGGAAACAAAGCCTTAAACCCTCTTTGATCAGTATGATGAGTGGTACCTGTTACATCTTGTTTATGACTAAGTGGAGGAATTCTTTCTTTAACTGCAACTCTTCTAAAACTTCTTAAAACATCATTGACTATTGATATGGACAACTGGGCTTTTATTACTTTGACTCAATGCATTTTTATACAGTACAAATGAAGAATGTCAAATTACGATAATGTCAGCTCTCAAGACAATAAAGAATGTTTCTCTGTGCTAAGTGTGGCTCCTCAGTCAATGACTTATGGTACTGAAAATTAATTCCCTTAAGTAAGTCATATAGTGCTACTACTAGATCAGCTAAGTCTAATTTCTTATAGCTATATAACTTACTGTTTTAAAGTTATTACATACTGCTAAGGGACTTTCATGGTGGGGGTAGAGGGAGAAGCTTTATCTGAAGGTGTGTGGGGGAGAGTGTGTGGGGGGGTTGTTTTTTTTTCCCCTCCTTCCTCCCTGCTGTTGCACACCATGTCAAATGCAAAAAAAGGAGGCTTGCTGTAGCCCTCTTTTAACCGGCTTAATGTATAGTATCAAACTAAACTGGAAGACATTGTGTTGTAACTGCCAAACATAAGTAATAATATGGCATAGCTAAGGTGGATTTAGCCTCAAAATATGATAGTGTGGGTTTTTTTTTTTTTGTTTGCTTTAAGCTGCTTTGATATCACATTTTGTCAACGTGCTTTTGCATAGCGGCATAGTCAGCACCAAAAAAGGTGCAGTGTCTTTTGTTGCTCTTTCCGTAAGAGCTGCCAAGTATCTGTCTGCATTCTTGAATTCACAGTTAAGCAGAAACTTAGATTCATACTTCTCTACTTTAACACTCTACTGGAGGCAGTGAATTCTGATCAAGGCTTTAGTGAAAAGTTCATACAGTTTCTATAGTAGGCTTTTTGCCAGAGGGTGAATATTCTTTCATAGTCTGTTCTAAATCGTAAAACCTACTAAAACTGGGGATGGAAAGAGGAATATATACCTTGATATGGTTGGGGTGTTTTTTGTTTTTGGGAAGGAAGGAATTTGTAGAGGTATCTAATGAGTAGTGGGATTTAAGTGCTACATACTAATAAAATTAACTTTTTAATCCATGTCTGATACCTATTTCTAATGCAAGACTTAGAAAGTGTTTGTCCACATGACACCCTGAAGCTGCGCACTTCTGAAACTGGAGTAAGGTGTTTTTCTTCTGAAAGCCTAAGTATACTGATACTTCTCTACTTTAATATTACCAGATCACCTGAACTGAAAATGTCAGACTATAGTAGATACTAGCTGTCCAATGAAAGAACTACATTGTCTGAAGTAGCAAATCTGTTTAAAATCAGAATACCCTTGAGTCCACTATTAGGCATAAAATGCCACCATGTACCGAAGACAAATAGACTGGTTTTCTTTTTTTTTTTTTTGCCTTGCTGCAAAGATTGCCTTTCACTGCTGCCTGCCCCAGCAGTCTCTCACAGTTACTGGTATTAGATCTGAGTGTTAATAGTGAACTTCTTGTCTTCAAAAATAACTAACTGATTTATAGTTACATAACACTTCTATATAATTTCCACAAAGCAGCTTGCTTACTTATTATTTTAATCAGTCAGGTAAGAGACACACACAACTTCATTAAAACAAAAATATTTATTCAAGCTGTAAATGCTATGCAGTATTAAATTATTGGATGGGTTTAATATAAACATCTACTGCATAATATTGGTTCCTTAGGAATCCTTGTATACTATCTTGAAACGTTGCCCTGTTGCTGTACAGCTCTCTCATAAGAAAACTTGCATTGTTTAAGACCTCAACAATTTGAGAACAAAGGAGGAAACACCACTTGAGAAAATTCTGCAGTACTGGAGCAAGGCTTAAGTGTATTAATTTTCATCTAATTAGTACTAAAATGTAGCTTGAGCTTCTCCTGTATCGGTCTTGAAGAGAGTTTGTAGAGTAGCTGTGACCACTTTCTATGATAAACCAAAAGATTAGATGCAAATTTTACTGTATCTGGCTAAAAGCATAAGTAACATTACTAAATGCCTTTTCAGCAGTACAAAAGATGGTTCAAAGAATTTACTCTTGCAATAGAACACTTTCAAGTTCTTTTCTGGCTATCACTACAGTTTAGATATTCATACTGAAGGTACAACATTTTACAATATTTTTTGCATTCAAAAACATCCTATGTAGCAAGTACTGTGTAAGTAATTCCTAGAAACAGACTAGGCCTACACACATTTAATTTTTTTGTCTGAATGGTTGGGGGGAAAGCTTCATTAGAAGAGAACTTTTTTGCCTTAGATTTATGTAATTTTTAATAATTCATTCAAAGCCTTAAAACATGGATTTTACAATTATAACAGAAGATAATGTTACTACAAGTCAGTTACATCTGAAGTTTCTTTATGATTCAACAAGACAATGGAAAGTGGCAAAAATTAGCTGTCCATGTCTTAGAACAGTGAATTACAAACACTGCCTTCAAATTCACAACTTTTTCACAAATTGATGAAGCAGTTCAGAGGGTAAGTAAGTAGAGAATGCAGCAGAACGCAGACAACATGGTGTGTAACAGGAAACTTACTTACAACTTTTCGTACATTACATTTATACAAATTTACAATTTTGCAAATTAAATGGCTCTATAATTATGCAAGTGCTTTTTCAAAAATAAACATATACCAACTCAATGATATTTACAGACTTAGCAACCTGCTTCAGAAACAGCATGATTTTGCTATAAAGTGAATCTTCAGTGCACTGAAAGTGCAACTCATCCTTTAGAATTAATCTCCCATGCAAAACCTCAGCATAGAACACTGGCTTTATACAGTCACAGTTCATATCTTTTTATTCATCGTAATGCAGAGATAACAAGAACTTGTCCACATCCATTCCTGCCGGAAAAGAATTTGGCAGCTTCTTTTTCTGTTGAAGAAGAAGAGTAGTTGCATGAAATACCAAGAATTTGAGAATACTGAGGCTGTCTCTAAACATTCTTTTTTTTTCTTTATCCTTCCCTAGCCACGCTGCAGAAGTAACTGTACAAAGCTCACTCAGAAATTGGACACTGAAACATATAGGCACTTGTGCATATCCCCTAAGGAAACTGCATGATTACAGGACAGGCATAGTTAAAAGTTCTCAACTTTAGCATTAGCCCACCCAGACTTCAGACACACTATCTCTCTCAGCTTTTGTAACGTGTACGTTGCTATAAATAGCTGAGCATTTTTCATTCATAATATTTCAGGAATACGTGTTAGTAAGTATGATGAGTTAGAATTATAATGCGTCTCCCTCCCTTTTGATCATTTACATACACAGCCTTTTAACGTCTCACCTATACCTGTGCTATTTGCCGTTAAATCAAATCCCCAAGTTAAAGGTAAGGTTTGATAGACTACAGAGACTGGCAATACACAAAATATGGCCTTCTAGTCCTGGCCGTGAAGAGGGGAAATGCAAGAATAGCTTGAATTTTAGTAAGACCTAGTGTGAGTTAGCCTAGTTTCTAAATTCAACAGCTTGAATTTAGCCACTCAGTCATATTTTAAGATAATTCATTTGATTTTCACAGATAGGTGCATAAAGTCAATGATGGGAGTTACTTGTGTATCTGAGCACTGTACACAAATTTTAAGACTACGTTAATTCAAAATGGACTTGAGAGGCAAAGTTACTAAAACTGATGAATATTTATGAGATGTCAAGGATTTGGACTAGCACCTCTGAACCATCTCATTATAAATAATTTTCAGTCTATTGTATATTTAATATTTTAAATGAAAAGTAAATGCCTGTACTCGCCTTTATTTTCTTCTTTTTTGATGGTGTTGGAGAGCTTTGAAGGTCTTTTCTATTTGCAGAACGAGAATTTCTCTCACCTTCATTCAAGTCCTCTAGCTTCCTTTTCTTTACTGTACTCCTTAAAGATCTGAACTGCTGAGTATTATCCTTCAGTGGAGTTGCAGTGCTAGTCCTTGCAATAGCAGCCCGTGACAGTATCATCAGTGTGTGAGCAGCCATATTGACACTATTTTCGCTACCTGTTTCACTAGCTGGGCTGCAGGCAGGTAAGTCTGGAGTAGCAGGAGGGACCATGATTCTAGGTGTTGTGCTGTCCTCATTGAAACGCCGACAGGTTGGTGTCCTTACACTATCCGTAGTATCGTCTGTGTGCCTGTCCCCAACTCCAGATGGTGTACGGGGTACTGGTAATTCTCCATTTTCAACTGCTTTACTAGTAGGGCTATGCCACTGAATGTCTTGCAACATTTCTACACATTGTTTAGTGAAAGGACTTGCCAAGCAAAGGCCTTGGTTGGAAACTTTAGCTGGCTCTCGTTTTGGCTCCTTTGAGGACAGAGAAACAGATGCTGAAGATTTGCTATTCCCGTTTGACAATGACCCTTGTTTTTTGTTCAGCTCCTGCACTGAAGCAACCGTCCCCCTGGGCCTGGGACGCCAAGGGGGCGCCGCGGGCGCCCACGGCGCCAGACTGGCGGCCACCCAGGCGAGAGCTCCGTCTACTTCAAACTCGTAAGTTCCTTGGGGCATGGCGCACCTCCCTCCTGCGGCCTACGCAGCCCCCCGGTGTCAAACCGGAGGGGAGGAGAAGGCACGTCTGCCCAACGTGGCCTCTCCGGGCATCTATCTTTCTTTCCTACAACTATTTCTGTCTGTCTGTACCCTTGGTCATCCCGGTGTGGTGTCAATATACCTATGTGGCGTGTACGTATTACACCCATGGTAGAAAGTTTCTGTAAATATATGTAAATGAGACATTGCTAATATAGTTATTCAAAAGTTATCTTGTTGTTATCTACTGAATGGATTTATGACAACGTAGAGTAAGAAATCCTCTCTTGCTCCCGGAACCTGTTTCGATCGATGGTTCAGCGTTTAATAAAGCCTTTCAGCACGCCTTTTAACTGGTGCGGTCGATCTGCTCCCGTGAACCATACCACCTCCCCCTCCCCTTTCCTCCATACTGCACAAAGAAATCCACGGCAAGGAAAAGAAAGCAAGTTTGAATAACTAGCATTACTAACCTTTGTGCACGAGAATTTGCATGGTTCAAAGGCTCAGCCACATTTGTTACCAATTTTCCTAGAACAACAGATGAAGCATTAATAAACTGCAGTAATCCAAGTAAATCAACTCACGGTACAGTAACTTTTCCCACAATACAGAATCAATAAAAAAGAAATCCAGCAATAAAATTTCACAACATTTTCCTAATTTTAAGATTTACAGACTAATAGATTAGCAAAGCTCACCAATTAAGTACGAACAAGAAGCTTGCTGTGTAATCTTAGATAATAGATAAGCCTGG